TAGCAGTAGTAGTAGCAGTAGTAGTCTGAAAGTTTAACCTTTTAATTCCCTGGCGTATTGGGGAAGTAAGTAAGCCCTAAGCCCTCTTAGGCCTCAGATTTTGGGGTTTAGGGTTTGGGGCTCCAGCAGGATTGAGGGTTTCTGAGGGCTTTGGGGTTGAATCAGGCTTTTTTCGGTTAAGAGTTGAGAGTCTAGTCATTTAGGGTGTAGAATTTAGGCTTTAGGAGTTTAGGGTTAGGGGTGTAGGTGGGCTGGGTGTGCGGCTGGGGTTCTATTTCCGGAAACTGACCTCGGGATTGCAATGCAACCCTAAACCCTAAACCCTAAACCCTAAAAACCCTAAAAACCCTAAAAACCCTAAAGCCCTCAGCCCCAGGGGTGAGACTTCTTTGGGGCTCGGACCATGCTTCTAGACCACCACCACCAACTCACTCCCGCAAAGATCTGCAACATAGGGGCCTTAATTGTTAGAATAGGGTTTTGGCGGTTCCTTATTATAATTAATTATAGGATAATGGGACCCAACACCCAATTCTAGTTATTAAGTCCCCTATATTAACATAGATTTCCGTGCTCTTCGCCCTGTCTTTTTCGTGTTTGACCTCTCTCTCTCTCTCTCTCACCCTTTCTGTTTCGCGCTCTTGGTTTTTCTCTCTGTCTCTCTGTCTGTCTGTCTGTCTGTCTGTCTGTCTGTCTGTCTGTCTGTCTCTCTTTCTTTTGAAGTCCTGATCGAGCCGCTCCAGTCCCCTCTTGTAAGTCCCCTCTGTATGGTCTTTGGCTAAATCCTTCGGATGTGGCATGCCCGACCGTGATGGCAGGCTGAGGGTCCTCTACAGCTACTTGCGGGTGTATCTTGGCAGAGTTTAAACGGGACCCTATTGAGTATCCCCAAGGGTCCCCCTAGAGATCAAAGCCCAAAGCCCTGAACCCCGAACTGGAGGTGACGTTTGGTTCTCTTGTTTTTTTTTTTTGTGTGGGACAGTTCTCCTAGACCCTAAACCCTCAACCCTAAAACCTCAACCCTAAACCCTCAACCCTAAACCTCAACCCTAAACCCTCAACTCTCAACGCTAATCCCTCGACCCTAACTAACCCTAAACCCGTCGTGTGCCGACTGCGGGCAGGTACAACACCGCCCAGCCGCCCCTCCCCGAGCCCCCGTCCGCCGACTCGAGAAACTCAAACAAAATTCAAAAAAGCACACAAAAAAACACAACAGAATCCAACAAACACAAAAACTCAAAACTCCTAGTTTAAAGAATCCCAAAACGCACCCCAAACACGAACACCAACCAAGCTCAATTAACCTAACCCTAAACCCTAAACCCTAAACCCTAAACCCTAAACCCTAAACCCTAATGTTCTTGTAAACAACCCCTGAGGAGACCTGCCTAGCAGGGCCGATGAGTTTGGCCAGCGCGGGGGTGAGGCTGCGAGCATCCGAGTCTCAGAGGTTTCCGGGTTGGGGGGGTGTAGGTTTCAAGGGGTTTAGGGCTTTAGGGTTTAGGTTTTTGGGTGTAGGTTTTAGGCATTTAAGGGTTTAGGGTGTTGGGCGTTTAGGGTTTGTAGGGTTTTGGGCTTTGGGAGATTTAGGGGATTTAGGGGTTTAATTTACGGGTTTAGGGCTTCAGGGCTTTGGGGTTTTGGGTTTTGAGTGTAGGGTTTTGGGGGTTTAGGAATTTAGTTTTTTGGGGCTGTTGGGTTTAGGGTTCGAAGCGAATCCCCCAATCATCGGAGTTTGTCACAGGTTGTTGGGCTTGGGGTTTGGGGGCGAGTGGAGTGCTGGGTTCTAGGGTCTAGAGGGTTTCAGAGTTTAGGCTTTTCCTGCGGAAACAACCCGTTTCTGGAGGTTTCAAGAGTATTTGGGGATTCATTAAATTGGGGATTTCTGTAAGACTCTGTACGACTCCTTGAAGACGTATGGGCACTCCTCTTTTCCCTATTTAGTATTCAAGATTCCAGGTCGAGGCGGGTCTGTTGGGAATGAATATTAACAGGAACCATGCGATAATCAAGGGTAATTCTGCAGGCCTGCAGAAGACATGTGCAACGAACGCCCAAGCCCTCCAACCCTGAACGCTCAGCGCTCAAGATCTTCTCCAAGCGGCTTTTGCGAAAGTTGTCGACTTCTTTCTGCGGAAACAGTTCACCTCGAACTTTACAATACTGAAACCCTGTATATCGTGTAGGTACGTCGCTTCAAGGGTTGCAGGTAGATAAGCCCTAAACCCCACAAACCCCTAAACCCTAAGCCCCGAACCACGAAACCCTAAATCCTAGCAACTTGGGAGATGTTTGGCCAGGGATGGATGCAGCATCGGCGTGATTCGCTGCGAGCCCCGGCGGTCGCTTGCGCTTCCCATAATTCGGGGCAAGTACGGGCCTATAGGGTTTGTATGTAAGGGTTTAGGGTTCAGGGTTTAGGAACCCTGAACCCTAAACCATAACTTGGGGGCAAATATGGGCTTATAGGGTACAGTTGCAAGCTTGAACCCCGCGTACTTCCACATCGGTCCAGAAAATACAGCTAGAAGCCGATTTGGGATATTTGGGATATTTTGCATTTCTTTACTGGTTTGAAGCAATTGACAACAGAAGCTTAACGTACAAACTGAACCGTTTTGGGGGCCTAAACCCTAAACCCTTAAGAAACCGACGCCTAGAATCCCTTACAAGTAGGTTTAGGGACATCCCAGCCTTGACTTCCCCAGGGCAGCAGGGGTACCTAAAAGGCCATACCCTACCCCACCGTACACCCTAAACCCTAAACCCGTAAACCCTAAACCCTAACCCTTCTTTAAGGTTAGGATCTGTTATATAATAAAGTAGGTACCCTAGAAAAGGGGTAGGGTATGACCCTAATTATAGGTTGGGTTGAGCGTTTAGGGCTTTAGGGTTTCAGGGCTTGGTAACTTACTCCTAGTTCCCAAATCTGAAACCCTGCGCCATTTCAGCTACTCCCTTCAAGGTTGCTGACTGCCTCCGCAGACGGCACGGTGCGCGTATGGGATGCGCCATGGTTCCTTTAAGGGTGCTGCAATTTGGGCATCGATCGTGCAGGATTGAGAGGTTCAGGCTTTCAGGGTCTGTAGGATCATGGCTTCCGGGGTTTAGGGTTTAGGGTACCCTAAACCCTAAATAAACCTGTTGGGCCCGGGCCTGCCTCGTGGGCCAGCCCGAGACCTCTGTAGGTCCAGTTGTTGACTCCCTGGCCTCAAACTCCAGGGAGTTTCCGAAAATTAGGGGTACCTTGTTTTAGGGTCCTTCTAATAAGGATCCTATTATTTGGGGTACTATACTAGGGTCCCCTATTTTCGGAAACCCCCACCTCGCCCCAAAGCTATCCAGGGTGCTCTCCGGGTTTAGAAAATAGGGCTCTGAGTAACCACTGTTGGCTTTATGCCCTTGGAGTAATCGCATGAGCATAGCAGAATACACCCCGCAACTGGGGGTTTGCAAGCTACCTTACAACAGGATGTCAACTTTCCTGTTGGTTGCCGGTGTTTCATAGCACATCCTTCGAACAAACACTGCTGTAATTGTGGAAAGCCGCTTTTCATGTACATGTTCTGGCGAGCCTTGTCAGACTGACATACAGCTAATATGGTTGATGATATAAATCCTGCATTGTATTGCGGACCCTACACTATGGGAATTACAGTATATTCCTTATCATAGGTACTGCAGGATTCATATCATCAACCGTATCATACCCGATCCGCCATCCACCCAAGGAGAAGGGAACACACATCGCTTCACTACCCCAAGGCAGGCCATGGAAGTCTGTGCGCGCGCTTTGGGCTACGGGTTTTGTCTCCGATGCTACATTTGCCAATTTTCTCGGCTGGTGGAGTGCAACAAGCAGTCACCGCATTGATGGGAAGTTACCTTGCTGCCTGCCATACCAGGCAGCAAAATCTTGCTTGAGTATGGTCAGTTTGCATTTAAAACAGAAGGTCCGCTTCTTCCCGAAGCTCCGAAGCCTAGCAATTCCCGTCTCCAACTTCCCAGTGGCTTTTCAGACAAGAAACCCGAAGCCTGAAGCCCTACACATGTAGGGTTTTGAAAGCCTGCGGAATCCCATTGATAAAACCGAGTCCGAACACTTTAGGGATCTTTTGGGAGCTAGGATTAGGGGGACTCTTGGGGATATAGACCCTCTCAATAAGGCCCCTTTTAAGAGAGCCAAAAGTAGGGTTCAGAAGGGGTACCCTTTAAGGGGTGCCCCTAATAATACTACCTATCTTTAGGGTTTGGAACAAGTCTACCCACACCACAGTGAAGAATAGACTCCGAATGCCGTGAGCGCTTGGGTGACAGGCGAATGGGCCACGTCATTGGACTTCCAAGCGTCTTGGCTGCACATGAGTCCCCGGTCCAAGTCGAGGATTTTAAGCCCCAAACGTTTGGTTCGTTTCTGTTCGAGCTCGGGCCGAAACGTGAACAACGCCGAAAGGGCAAGCCACTACAGAGACTTCTTACATGTATTTGTGCCATATGTAACTCCTAACCTTAGTTTAATTAATAAGGCCCCTGAATTTTGCATGCAGATTAGGCTTCATCGCAGCTGCTTGCAGTTGGGCTCTTCGACTGCACAGTGCAGCTCGGCTGAAAGGGTTTTGCAATAGGTTTATCGGGTTTAGGAGCTTCGGGTTGGTTACAGGTTATGTTTTCACTGTTCTGTATTCAGGATTCCGGGTTGAACGCTTAGGCTCTTTGCAACAGGTTCAGGGTTTAATATAGGTGCCTAAATTTAAATCATTACCAATACTATTTCGGGGGTTCATTTATTATACATACTTATCATTTAGTAGTATATACCCCAAAACCTTCTTCCAATCAGTAAGGCCACTACATTAGGCTATTAGAGCTTGAGTGTTCAAGCGTAAGTCATCGTTCCAGTCAAGAAGTTGCAGAGGCCTCACCTAAACCCCTAAACCCCTAAACCCGTAAACCCCGAAACCCTAAACCCCAAACCCCCCTAAAGATTTGCCTGCCGAAGGTTCGAGATGCTTCGCTCCAAACCCTCCTTGAAGGGTCGGGGGCCTTTGCAAGTAGGCAGTATGTAGACTTACAAGGACCCTTTTTTGGGGGAGCCTAATTGGGGCTATATGATCTAATATACTAAGTCTATAAAATAACTACTTACTAAATCTCCGACCCTCCACGTAAGCCCCAAATCCAGCTGCCTTCCAGGAGGGTTTGGGAGCTGAACACGCTCAGCTGCAGTGACTCATTCTGCAAGACTCCCGAACGCTCGAGAAGTTCTGATGGTTCCGTGTGGCCTTTTGCTTGCGGCTCGAGTTGGGGGCGTAAACCCTAAACCCTAAAACCCTCTAAACTCTAAGCCCTACACCATGGGGGTTGTTTGATCTGAGTCCTTGCCCTTGGCTTTACGGATCTCACACCCTCGAAGTCAGCGGCAAAGGCAGTGCTGGCAACGAGAGGGAAAGAAAGAACAATCTCGACTTTAGGGTTTAGGGTTCAGGGTTTAGGGTTTAGGAGACAAGGGCGAAGCATGAACGCCACAGTGCTGTTCTGATGATCTAGTTACTGCCATAGTCCGGTAGGTGCCACATCAACATCCTGTCTATGTCCGGCTTCCCTTGTTGCGGTTCTAAGAGCCTTACTCAAAGCATTGCTGTTTGTCGCCAAGGGCTGCGGCTGCGTGGCCACGAGGGTCCTGTGCCACCTGACAGCACAGTGTCCAGGTTCGAGGAACACAAAGCTAAGTGGGCCTCCGATCTAAACCCTAAAACCTAAACCCTAAACCCTTAAACTTCACACGCCACAGGCTAAAAAGATCGGATTCCCCAAAGCCCCAAGCCTGCACCTGCTCTGCCAACAGGACCTAGTACCGAGCTATGGGAATTGTAGTAATAGTACCAGTAATGTATAAGTATTAAGAAGAAGAAGACTATTGATAACATGTCCGTCTGTATTCACACCAACCCTAAACCCTAAACCTCTACATCCTAAACCCCTTAAACCCAAGGACACCAACCCTAAACCCTAAACCTCTACACCCTAAACCCCTAAACCCAAGGCCCTAAACCCCCAAACCCACAACCTTAAACCCCGAAAACCGGAACTCTAAACCTTAAACCCCCAAAAGCCTAATCCCTAAACCCTAAACCCCTAAAGCTTAAACCCTAAACCCCTAAATCCTAAACCCCTAAAGCCTAAAGCCTAAACCCTAAACCCTAAACCCCTAAAACCTAAACCCTAAACCCTAAACCCCTAAAGCCTAAACCCTAAACCCCCAAAACCCGAAGCATCTCCGAGGCTCTCTGTCGCCTTCTCCGGCGGCCCCGTCTTGGCGACGGCGTCGAACGACCGAAGTGTGAGACTTTGGCATCTGCAGGCCGTTTCACGGTTTAGGGTTCAGGGTTTAGGGTTTAGGGTTTAGGGTTTAGGGGCCCTTTCCCAACCCCCCCCAAAAGTAGGTAAAGAAAATGACGGTTTAGGGTTCGGTTTAGGGTTTAGGGTTTAAGGTTTAAGGGCCCTTTCCCAAACCCCCCAAAAGTAGGTTAAACAAAATGACCCAACACCTACAACAAGGCTATGATTCTACATCCAGGTAAACCCCTGCCCTGGACCCTTAAAGCCCCAAACCCTAAACCCCAGAGTTTTCTGCCAGAAGCTACAAAAATACTCAGCTAGGCATCGGGCTTCAACCCTACCTTAAACTACCACAACCCTACATCTTGTAGGGCCCCCATAACGAATTCTAGATTAGGGTAGGGTTTAACTACACCTTACAAAACTGTAGGCTGTGGTAGTTTATGGCAAGCTCTGAGCCCTGGTGTGACTTTGGCTTGCGAGCGTGGGGCTTTGCCGTTCCCAGCAGGCTCTCAGGCGTTCAGAAAGGGGGTTAAGGGTTTAAGGTTTAGTGTTAAGGCGTTCATCAAGGTTTGCCTTAAGCTACCAAAGCCTACTTTCTAGTAGACTCTTGTTATAAACTCTCGTATGATACTCATATGCACGTTATAAGGACCCGACCAAACAGTTGGTTCTGGTAGGTTAATGTAACGGCTTTCTTTTGATGTGTTTAGGGGCTACGGTTTAAGGGTTTAGGGTCAAGGGCTTAAACCTGATTCTTGCAACCGCTTACATAATGTAGGTGCCTTAATAATTACCTCCACAATTCTGGGGGGGGTTCCTTATTGTAACTCTAGTATCATATGATGCCCCAAAACCCTATTCTGACTATTAAGGCCCCTACATTATGAGAAAGACATGCCAGCAGGATGGCAGCTGCCTTCGGAACCTCCAGGGGCATACCGACGGCATCAATTCCGCCGGAAGCCAAGCCGCCAAACCTGCCCCAAACCCACCTAGTGTAGGGGCCTTAATAGTGAGAATAGGTTTGGGTGTATATTATATTAAAATTATATTAAGGAACACCAAAAAACTTAGTCTAATTATTAAGGCCACAACACTAGACCCTGAACCCGAAACATAAAACCCTTAGCCCTAAACCAAACCCTAAAACCCTAAACCAAACCCTAAACCCTACGCCAAGCCCTAAACCCTAAACCCTAAACCCTAAACCCTAAACCCTAAACCCGAAGTACCGCAGGACTTCAATCTGTGGGGGTGCAGGGTTCCTCTGGTTTCCAAATCGGGGGTGCTTCTTCGGGCCTTGGTTTCGGCCTTGGTTTAACCCTAAGGGTTTAGGGTTTAGGGTTTAGGGTTCAGGGTTAAGGGTCCATGTACGCAAATAGTACATACTTTGGCCCCAATGTACGTATATATGGACTACTTTAAGGCCAAAGTGCATACTATGTGGGTACATGGACCCTCAGGGATAGGGGACGGAATTATTGGCAACAGCCCTCATCATTCCTTACTCTAAGGGTCCAAAGGACGTAGTATTCATGTACTTGAGTTAGGGATAGTAGTTTCGTAGGTTAGTATTCAGAATAGTATATAATTATTAGGTACTTGGACCCTTAGGGTTACATGCAAGTACAAGAATAATCTACCCAAAAGCCCTACTTCAATCATTGAGGCCGAGTTGAGTTGATCGCCTGCTGCCCTACAGCATGCGTGCAGTCCTAAGCTACGTTGAACCACATTCGTTCACTCCATGCCGCAGCCATCCGAGTGGGCTCAGTCTGGTACTACTAGACCACTTAGAGTTTTGGGTTTAGGGGGTACTGATGATGGTGGTGGTAGGAGCAGATAAAGAGTAGTCAGAGCCGCATGATGCTGACTTCAGCCCAGGAGGACCTTGACCAAGAAGTTCTATAGGAGCCAATTTGATGAGTGAGATCGTCCCGATAAGATAAGGCGCCCCAGGGCCGCCTTCAGATCATTTCGGCCCTGCAGAATGCCTGGCTTTCATGATGCCCCCTGGTCAGACACCTGGTGCATCGAAAAGGCACTGGTGCTGTCTTGCCCTCTGGAGCAGTCAGGAAGCGTCTGGTTGCGCGGCATCGCTTACGTTTTAGCGAGAAATGCAGCCATATTGGGATGCAATGTAGGGCTGGAAGAATGGTTCGCAATTTTTCCCACTCAACCGCCATCCGAAACGGCGCCCTAACTGAATAAAATCAGCATGCGACTCCTTCGCAATCGTGTTTCCTTGTTTTGTTTATGTGTTGTCTCTTCGACTTCCATACTGTTCCATACCCGTAATCATACGACACCACGCGTCAACGCCCGATTCAGACTGTTCGTGCCCCGATGTCCACTGGCCGTCTTCCGTAACAGCACTCGTCTAGATGATTGAGAGGTGGTTTGAGGTTTTGAGGTTTTACCTTAAACCCTGAGCCCTGAACCCCAAGCGATTGAATTTCAAGAGTTCAGGGAAGCATTTCCTGCCTGTTGTGGCGATGTCAGAGAGTTCAAGAGGTTGGGTTTATGCTAAGAGGGGGGATCTGAAAGAGAACTGCACTCTGAAAAACAAGTTGCGGTTATTGCTGGCATGGGGTGCATCGGGGACCCCGGGGATTTGGGGGTTTATGAGGGGGTTGAGGGGAGTCCCTTTCACTAGGGGTGAGGGAGCATTTTGAGAGACTCCCATATAGTTAGCCTTCTTAAACATCTTTGGAAAGCTCAAGGAAGAAGACCGACATGGACTATGGAGCTCTCTGCCGCTTTTGCCGCGAGGAGTGCGAGGTGACCGGTTTAGGGTTTAGGGTGGGAGTTGAGAAGGATGTGTCCAAACGTGAGTAGACGTAACTTTTTCTGGTGGTCTACTTCGTACCTCCTTTGGGCAGGTTGAGGTTCATCCGGAGTCCATCCACACTGCGAAGCTGAAGCAGAGTGACTGCTTCCGGCGCTTCCAAGCCTTCTTCAGTGGGGCGCACGAGTTCTTGTTCGTGGCTGTTCAGGGCGAGGGTACAGATGGCAAGCTGCAACTACATGATGGCACAGTATCCTGTGAAGATGTCTTGCAGCTCTGGAGGAATAGGTGCAGGCTCGCCCTGCCCCCCGCCACCCTATTCCTGCTTCTGGACTTCTGCCACAGTGGAGCTTGGGTAGATGTCTGCAAAAGCCAACCACCAGAGCCGGGAGTCTTTGTTCAGGCGGCTTGCTCTGCAAATGGCAAGACAACCGACGACTACGAGAGGTCGTTTACCCAGAAATGGATTAAGGCACAGTATGAGAAGAAGTTTACGTTTACGAAGCTACCATGCCTTCAACCATGGAAGCCGTGCTATCATGCGCCGGGTAGGGCTGACTTGCCTGAGTTTGGCAAGTGCTCCATCCTCCTTGTGGGAAATGATATGGCAGCTATGGAGCACGTAGAGCTGATGCCACATGGTGTGTCCAAGGTGGATGGCAGCTCCTTCCTCAAAGATGGCGGCTTGCTTCAGTTTGTCTTCGTACGTTAACCAATAGTCACCAGGCTTTTGCATATTAGGGGTGCTTTTGTAGAAATCTTAAGAAAGAATGCAGTATATTATATTGGGGTCTGCATTGGAGTCCCCCGCTATTTACAGAAGAGCTACGTCGCGCCCTGTTTTGCACGTTTCGCCGCTGCAGTCAGTAGTATTCCTCTTTCGTTTTGCTAGTCCACGCGAGTACCACTCGTAACCGAAGAATCTTATGTAGATCACCATACGGACCCAAGTAAGTACCTTGTGTTGGCAAGCCACTTGAAGGTCCATACTTTTCTTCCCCCCCATAGCACCATAGCCCCAGTGTTCAGTTCTTAAGGATGCGGACCTGTGAAACACGGATTATACAAGCCAGATCAGTTCGAGCTAGCACTCTGAGCAGCCTGGGGCATAAACGTCTTAGTTTATGGTTTTTGTGCTGGTGGCGGTGGTGGCGTTGCAGACCTACTGTAGTTAGGGGCCTTAACAATTCGAATAGGGTTTTGGGGTATATTATACTATAAGAAGGAGCCCCCCCAGAAAACTTGTAGCCACGCGTAGCCCAGCTAAGCTATCAAACCCGAGACCCCTAAACCCCTACGTAAGCCCTAAGCCCCTAAACCCGAAACCCCAAACCCACTAACCCTTAAACCCTAAACCCTAAACCCTAAACCCTTAAACCCTAAACCCTAACTATTGGGTCCTTTGGAACCTTGGGGACAGGGCTCAGGAATCGGCAAATAAGGCCTGGCGCCCTTAACCCTAACCAGCACAGCCGAGGCAGCAGTCTCTTCAACCTACATGTGAGCACCATGAACCTTTACAGCAGTTCCCAGTTCCAGTCCTCCGGCAAGTTCAAGGATGCAGCGGAGGCTTTGCGAACTGCCAGGAAAACTGCTTCTTCTGTAGAACTGTTAGAAGTTGCCTTGCTGTTCAATTTGGAAGACTACTATGTATTCTGGAGGTTTGGTGCTCACGAGCAGATGTGGAAGACACTTGACATGGTCACGAACATGGCTCGGGGCCTCACCACTGCAAATGCCGCAGCGATTCGAGCATTGGCACTGGCTTGGAAGAGCTATGAATGTTTGGGAAGTTTGCAGCTGGAGTACAGCAGGTCCATGTTTGAGCAGGCTACGGAGGCTTTGTCTGAGATGATTGCCGTTTATGATCAGACTAGTCTAAGCAACGTGGTCTGTGCTGAAATCACAATGGCTTTGGGCTTCTGGAACGAATGGCGGGCGCAGCAACTTGGGCACCCTGAACCTGATGCATGGCCCCGGGCCGAGAAGCTCATTCTGCGGACGCTGGAGCACTACGGCCATTGTGGCTTTCTGGAGGAGCTTGCTAATGATGGTCTGAAGCTGTGCGGGATGCAGCTACAGAGGGACGTGGCCGACAAACACGCGACCCCTTATGAAGCGCTGGTTACGGAAGCTCACGCCCTGATCCGAGGACACCTGCTTACAGTACAGCACAAAGGTTTAAAACGCTTCAGTGAAAGAAGCAGCATAAGATGCCTGGCAACATTGATTCAAGTATGCCACCCGCGCCGTTCCGAGAAGGAGAAGGGCCTTGGCTTGCTGGTGGTAGGTCAGCTCGCGCCGGCAGCGATGTTGTGGCACTACTACATGGCTCATCACAGGTTTGCAAACGGGCATAGAGAGGACCAACTTGCAGAAGAGTTCTCGCAAGCTCGGATGACGGGGGCGGTCGGCTGTCGAGTCATGTTCTTCTTAGACGCGAGCAGCTTGCACAGCTTGGAGCCTTTCATGTGGTATGCACCTTACTTGCATAAGTCCGAGATATTTTAGGTCTTGGGTTGAATTCGTGCACAGGCTCCTTTCCATCCTGCCGTTGTGTCAACGGAACTTCGCCGCCAGCCTTCGTAAAAGCCGGCTTGACCACAATAGTGGACAGTAGCACAACAGCATGGGACAGATAACATGCAAGGTTTAGGGCTTGCATGTTCTACCTACTGCCTGTGTCATGCTATCACCCTCTACAAACACACACACACACACACATATATATATATATATACATACAAGACATATACCTATATCTATCTATATACCTATCTATTTATCTATCTGTCCACCCATCCATCTATCACCGATAACACCGTAAACGACAGCCTCTCAAACCTCAAACAAAGCCTTGCATAAACCTACAGATCTCAAAACCCTAAACTCTTTCGACCGCTTAGACTAAACATCTGTAAGCCTAACCTTCCCTAAACCCTAAACCCAATTATAAATGCTAGACTCTAGACCGCTACGGTTGATGATATGAATCCTGCATTACCCATAACACGGAAGATACCATAATTCCCATAGTTTAGGGTCCTCAAGGTAATGCAGGATTTGTATCATTAACAGAGTGTCCTACAAATGCGTGAGGTCTGTTTCGGCCCCACTGCCGAGACCCTCCTCAGCGCCTCAGTGGACCGAGGGCAATGGAGTTTTCCGGGGCTTCAACGGTTTAGGTTTTTGGGGTTTAGGGTTTAGGGTATCCTTTAAGGGTTCCTTTAAGGGTACCCTTCAGGGTTATTACGAGAGTGGTTCAATGAGATCACTTTGGGGTTTCAGGTTGACGGCTTCATGTACCGATGTCGAGTTTTCTTAGGCCTTGAAGTATCTAGACAGGAGCCGCTTGAAGGCCTAAGTCAACAACTATATGGGCGTTGGCCGGGATTTGTTTTTGAGATGATGGGGCGGATCAAGAAAGGCCGGAATAGAGCTGTTTCTGCTTACTAGGATTAGGGGTGGCTTAGGGCCTGTTGTGTAAGTTTTTTTTTTAGGTATCGCACTGCCCTGAGCCCTAAACCCAAAACCCTAATCTGCTTTATAAGGTGGGTTAGGGCTTTATGGTTTGCCTTGAGGTTGTGAGATGCCGAGCTTGGCGCTGTAGGGCTGTGAAACCGCCAAGCTCTCAAGCCGTAATGTAGGGGCCTTAATAATTACAATAGGGCTTTGGGGCAAATTTTACAACAGTCATGCTAAACCCTAAACCCTGAACCCTAAACCCTAAACCCTGACCTTAGGGTTTAGGCGGCTTGGTTTTTGGGCTTCGGCTTCAGGGCTTCAAGGTTTAGGGCTCAGGGGTTTAAGTGGTTAAGGTGTAGGGTTTAGAAACCTAAACCCTAAAATACATGGGTTTATGGCTGACGGCAGGACCGAACGGCCAAGCTTTGGTCCAGCAACGAAGGCACCGTGCTGCGGAGCTTCGAGGGCCACAAGGCTATTGGGAACGCTTTCGGGGGGTTTAGGTGGGAACGCTTTCGGGGGGTTTAGGGTTTAGGGTGGTCTTCTCGCATGACGTAGAGAAACGGCGATCTAGACACAGACGAGTCCGACAGAACCTGCTGGGTTTAGGGTTCCGGGTTTAGGGTTTCGAGTTTAGGCTTTCAGGTTTAGGGTTCAGGGCTTAGGGTTCGGGTTTAATGTCGTTGAGCAAGGCACGACATGCCTGAAGCGATAATATGTCATCAGGCATGCTAAGCCCTCGGAGTCATGTGCTACGTGGTGGACCGAATGCCTGATCAAGCATTCTGCTTGAAACTAGAAAGGGATCCTTATTCATGAAGTTATACTCCTTTATGATTGAAGGTTTTGGGGAGTTTCTGTGTTGCCTTAAACCTGGTCGAGAGCGCTGTGTCCGCATTATCCTTGGTTCGTGAAGAGACCCCAGCAGGGCAGACGAGGGAGTTGGGAGCCGCGCATTTGGAAGGATCGTCTGTTGGGAGGCTCCTCAGGCGGAAGTGTTTATTTTATCTATCTATCTTTTATGTACACACATACATACACACATACGTACATACATACGTACATACATACATACGTACATACATGCATACATGCATGCATACATACATGCATACATACATACATATGTGCAGATATACCAGCCCGCTCTACAAATCTATTTGGCCATCTATGCATCCAAATAGCTACCTGAGCAACTCCTTTGTGCCATCCGTCCCTCCATCCATCCATCAGCTACACGTTTTCTTCTACGTTTCTATCATTGTACGATCGCGCCAATTATCTCATGTTCTCTTGACATCTCGATGTATTTACCAACCTGTGCAAGCATACAGCGACATGTAAAGAGCCACCTACTAACCCAAAACCCCAAAGCCCTAAGACCCTAAACCCCAGGCCCTATTCTCTTAGACCCTATAGACCCTCAGCCCGAAACCCTATTCTCTAAGACCCTCGACCCCAAACCTAAACCCAACACGCTAAACGCTTCTTGCCCTGCAGGGAGAGGTCACATGTGCCCGATTTTCGCCACCTCAGGCCCGTCAGGTTCTGAAATTCTGAAGCCCCTATCCTCGCCCTAAGGATCCATGTACCCAAATAGCACATACTTTGGCCCCAATGTACCTATATAGGGATTACTTTAAGGCCAAAGTACATACTATTTGGGTACATGGACCCTTCGGGTTGGGTTGGGACAAGGGTTCCACTAGACTTCTATAAGGGTCGAAGAGATGGCTAGGGCTTCTATACGGCTTGTCGGCTCCAGGAAGAAGGGTTTTTGGAGTAACCCTAAACCCTAAACCCCAAACCCTAAACCCAAAGCCGAAACCCTAACACCCTGAACCCCTGAACCCTGAACCTTCCGGGGCTTGAAAATGGGCATGGAGGAACTTCAGGTCGGCTGGAAAAGTTATAGCAGGTGTGAGTCTTCCTTAGATTTCTTTCTTGCATAGCCATCCTTTTTGGTTTTAGGGGTTGAGGGTTCAAGGTTTCGGGTTTTAGGGTTAAGGGTTTAGGGTGTAGGGTTTAGGGTATACCTGGGGATCCCAAAACCTACCGTTTCAAGGGGTTCTACCCTCTAATTGAGGGGTCATAGCCTACTCTTCTGTAGGGTCTGGGGTCACAGGTATTTGTATAGTAGCCTATACCCACCCCCTAAAACCAGTAACCTTCCTCAGGCTTCGATCTACCCCAGCACGCGTCGTGAGTGTGACGGCCCTCTAGCATAATATAGGGGCCTGAATCTTTACCTATACTATTTTGGGGGCTCCTTATGATAATTGTAGTAGCATGGGCCCCAAAACCCCATTGTAATTATTAAGGCCCCTACATTACCCAGTTGTTTAGCTTCGAGGCGGCCGATCGACAACGATGATGAAGTCGAGTCAAGCCATGGGTTTTTTGAGGGAAAACGGGTCCAGGGGTTCAGGGTTTAGGGTTTATAGGGTTTGTGGCCCTAAACCCTAAACCCGAAGGATCTTGGGTCCAGGTTCCGCACCAGAGGAATGTGGCACATCTACGGTCCGATCTGAAAGGTGCCGGATGTACAAAAGTCCCATACATAACGTCCACAAGGTAGCAGCCGCTCTACCAGAGAGTAGAGAGTGTGAACCCTAAACCCTAAACCCTAAACCCTAAACCCTGAGGCCGAAGAGATACACAATTTTGGGGCTGGCGACCTGGTTTTTTATGTGGCGGCTGTGATGGCTCACTTTTGCAGAGGGCGACTTCTGGCCGGGAAAGTAAACCTGGCCCAACGACCCTTGAAGTCACCCTTTAAGTCTGCACCGGAAACGCTAAACCCTCAGCACCAAGAGCCTGAACCTGAAATTAGAACCCCTTTACCTTGACGTCAAAATGCCTAGGCCCCCAGACCTCAAAGCAGTAACCCTAAACCCTGTGGCCCCAAAACCCGAAGCCCTAAACCCTAAGCCCTCAAGTCTTCGCTTCTGGGATCCGGGTCATATCCCTTCGCAAGTAGGGTTCTACATAGGGTTTAAGAATTTAGGGGTTAGGGTTTAGGAGTTTAGGGGCTTAGGGGCTTAGGGTTCAGGAGTTTAGGGCTTACGGGTTTAGGGTTTAGGGCTCAGCGTTTCTGTCGGCTTATCAACCCAATCGGTGCACCCTAAACCCTAAACCCTAAACCCTATACTTACCAAAGTCATTTGATCCTGTGAGCAGGGCAACCTCATCGCCACTTCTTCTGCGGACCATGAGATCAGGCCCAGTCTCCCGAAACCCGACCTGGACCCTGTACGGGATTCCTTTCAAGGAGTTCCTTTAAGGGGTCCTTAGGGGGTTCGTTTTGAGGGGTTCCTTTAACGTTCCTTATTATGAGTTATTTCTTCTTATATTCATCTTGAACATGGTAGGTTATTTGGGGTTAGCCCATAGTATGTCGAAATACCCGGAGAGCAGGCTTTCCAGGTATCAGAGGTCAGTCAGACACTGCAATTACTTTGGGTACTTGGGCTGGACCAGCCAGACTTTCTCCTTAATCTTTACCCTAAATCCCGTATCTGGGCTTAGGGTTTAGGGGTTGAGGTTCTTGGACCCTCTTAACACCAAATTAAAGTAGTAGCCAGAAAGTTGGAACATCGTAATCGTCTGCTCTTAAGATAAAATAAAAGGCATCCTAGCACAAATCATCCTAAATCCATGTTCCAACTTTCCGGAGTTCACTGCGTTGGGTAGTTCTGTAGACTATAGTCGCTTTTAGGGTCTTTTTGTTAGGACCTAAAAAGGGACCCTAATTTGAAGAACTACCCCTTTGGGGTTTAGGATTTGGGTCGAGGGTTTACAAGGTTTAGGGTTTACAGGGTTTAGTGTTTTGGGTGTATTTGGGGGTAGGGTTCAGGGTTTTCAGGATTTCCGATGTGGCACAGCTGGCAACCAGAGAACCCAGCGGCTACCCTGGCCCTGGATTGCAAGGTTTATTATATTGTTTAGGGCTTATGTAGGGCTTTTAGGGTGTTCTGTTTGGATTTTCTTGGAGTGTGTTTTTTTCCGGAGATTACGGTTTGTAGGGGTTTAGGGTTTAGCCTGCTTGATGCTTACTTACGTCTTCCAAAACCCATGAGAAAGCAGGTCGAGTTGTAAGGATTTAAGGAACCGGTTATTTACTGACCTTGGAAATCCATTTGTTTCCTGTGTCCAGTCACATGATATGCCAGCTAGGATCACTACAAGAAGATCAGGCAGCCAACACAAGCAAGCCAGAGTCCGGGTAACCCTAAACCCTAAACCCTAAACCCTAAACCCTAAACCCTAAACCCTAAACCCTAAACCGAAGCCGAATCGCAAGGATTGGGGAGTTCTCCTTGTGCAGCCTGTCGGCTCAGCAGACGGCCTCTTGCGCTGCGCTGGGACGGCAGAATGTTCCGAGGCCTTCTTGCCGCGCTGGCCCTTGCGACTTCCGTGGTGCATGCAGCACTGACTCAAGGCTACTCTACGCAGACCATACAGCATGATGGGGTCGAGCGGGAATTTATGGTCTATCTTCCCGGCAACTCAATCTATACTGGCCTCTTCTTGATGCACCACGGCTGGACAGAAACCATGGATTCTGCATGCTCCTACGGAGAGATCCAGAAGTATGCGGAAGAGTACGGATTCGTCGGTGTTTGTCCCCAAGGGCTGCGTTATGCCAGTGGTGAAACCGGGTGGAATGTTGGCACTTGCTGTGGGGGTGCAGAAACTGCGGGCACCGACGACGTGGGATTTATCAGAAAAGTCGTTGAGTTTGTCAATGCAGAAGTTACCATCCCTGCGGGTCGCACTTATGCCGGTGGCTTCAGCAACGGTTGTGCATTATCCTTCCGCTTGGCATGCGAGCTCTCGGATGTGATTTTCGGTGTCGGTTGTGGTGGAGCTGCATACGACCATGCGTACACTGGACGCGGAGTCTTGAGCTGCAATCCCGCGAATCCCCGCCCATATTGGTCTCAGATAGGCAGCTTCGACCAATTCTACAGCGTGACGGACAGCAAGGCCGGCTGGCGGAAGTACGCCACAGAAGTTCTTGGCTGTGGCAGCGCTACAGAAGTGGTCTACAACCAGGACTCCGTGACCTGTGAGGAGCACACGTTGCTCGGCCGCGAACCTCATCAGCCGTTTCCTTTCCTTAATTACCCTGAGGGTCCATGTACCCAAATAGTATGCACTTTGGCCTTAAAGTAGTCCCTATAGAAGTACATTGGGGCCAAAGTATGTACTATTTGGGCACATGGACCCTTAGGGTTAGGCTGTGTGAAGTCATAATCAGAGTTGGTAGTTAACAGATGCAGCAAAAGCATTCTGATTTACTGACTCATCGAAATCGCAGCAAACCCTGAACTCTATAAAAGCCCTAAACCAAACACCCTATACTTCATTCCGAAGAGGGTGCTATGAAGCTTTTCAGTTTTCATACGCACTTCTGCAACGTTTCTGGCTCCATGAGGGTTGGCTACAGGCCTCCACTTAGGGATACCTTAAACCCTGAACCCCTTGAGGCCGTGGGGTTGCAGCTCTATCATCTCCTTAAGCCCTAAACCCTACTTTAAAACCCGGGGCCCTACCGACTAACTACCGAACCTGCTGGTTTTGGCCGGGCTGCTATAATAAAGTCTATATCTAGGTTTAGAATAAGAGGCAGAAGGTTATGGTAGATAATTAATTAAGGCACATCTTAAGCCCAAGACCGGTGACACACAAAGGTCATGCCCCATCGCCCAGTCTTCACGCTTCTGCGAGTTGTCTGGCCTTTGGCATGACGCTGGGATAAAGACTCGATTTCAAGGTGAGGGTTTTGGGTTTAGGGTTCAGGGGTGGGAGGCCAAGTGCCTATGATGTGATGGCTGTACGAGTCTGATTATCTTCTCGTTGTTGAAGCGGGGGCCGATTCAGCCGCATTCATCCTGCAGATACAGGACTGCAGGTGTACAGCACCGACTGGATGTGAAAGGGCCTTGTGCTAGACTTGTTCAGGAGGATTGGTTTAAAGGAGCATGTCAAGTTTGACACGAGGGTTCATTTGGCTTGTTGTTAATGGGTTGCCTTGTCGAATGTTCTGCAATTGTCTCATAGCTTTCTGCAAGTGTTTTTTCTGTCCCCGTCCCAGCTACTTCCTAGGACTGCACGATAACATGACATACCTCCCTGCTTCAGCATGTGGCACACAGTGCATAAGGAATTGCTGTGCCCTGAATCTTAAACTTCCCTAAACCCTAATTTTTTAACCCCTACGCCCTAAACCCTGAAAATTTTTAAGCCTCAAACTCTAAACCCTGAGCCCTAAACCCTCAACCCCGCGAAGGTATATCAGAGCAGCAGCTTGGACCCCTGGGGAGTGAGTCCTACAGAAGCTGCATGGCTCTACTTATCCGGAAGCTCTGTGGACACCACTACCGATCCGCAACTGGGCACCACTACCGATCCGCAACTGGACACCACTACCGATCCGCAACTTTGTCGCTGTTTAGCCGTTTAGGGTTTAATAGGGTTTGGGGTTTCGGGTTTAGGGCTGAAGTAATAAACTTTACACGTTACATGGGGGCAGTATATCCGGCTTAGAACCGAAAGTTTAAACTAAGCTTAGGGCTGATGAACCTGGAAACTAAGGCAAACCTCTGGAACGCCGAATGATCCGACCAGTCGCGCAGAGACCTCACTTTGCAGCTTGGCCACGCTCCTTGCGCTCGTCCTGCTGCACTGGGCGACCTAGCAGCCACGAAGTGCGCGTTCCTCTCATAACTGCCGAAGGCAACTGTTGTGCAGAAGGTTGGGTTCCCCTTCTCCGTGGGTTTTCACACCACGTGCCTCAAGGGACACGGTTTTCCCACCATATCCGCATCCCACCGCTGCAGAGGAAACGAGTTGCCACGGCATTGCGGTCAGAAAAAGGGGCTGCCATCCGCACCCCCGGCTAGGGCTTGAGGTTTAAATTGTTAGGGGTACACGACATGAAGTCTCTCGAATTGGTGGGCTCAGGACCCTAAACCCTAAACCCTTGAACCCCTAAACCCCTAAACCCTAAACCCCTGGCCTTGGGTCTGTTACGCCGATACCAGATAATGTATACATCAGAATATCCTCACAGCCTTACTTAATCTAGAATGAATGTTATCGTCCGGCACTAATCATCGTTACAGGCCTTAACCGATGTTCCAACTTTATGTCTACTTCCCTAAAGCTAAACCCCTACCCTAAACTCCAAACCCGAAACCCTAAAACCCAAACACCAAACCCTAAGGCCCAAACCCTAAAACCCAATTCCTCAAACCCGATACAGCCCCTTTAGAAAGCCAGGATCTGGGAAACTGCCTCTGGCAGCCTCGTCCGAGTGCTCAGCCGGGTACCGAGTCCTACTTGCCCTGAAGCTTTCGGGGTTTAGGGGTTCGGGTGTAGGGTTTAAAGGGCTTTAGGATTTGGGGTTTAGGGTTTTAGGGTTTAGGGTTTAAAGGGCTTTAGGATTCGGGGTTTAGGGCTTTAGGGTTTTAGGGTTGAGGGTGGAGGGTGGAGTAGATTGCAATGACAGATCATATGGAGACTACCATATGGTAGGGATTATATCAGCATTGCCGCGAGGGATTATGTCCGGAATGTTGTAGGGATCGCCTCTCCCCGCTCCTTCTTAGGCACCAGTGAAAAGTTAGCGTAGCATTTACTGCAGGTGTGTGCACCCTAAACCCTAAACCAAAACCCTAAACCCTAAACCCTAAACCCTAAACCGACTGGAGCTATCATTCTGAGGTTTGGGCTTGAAGGTTACGACTCGTGAGTCTTAGGGTGTCAAGTTTAGGGGTGTAGGGCTATGACGGTTCGGGTGCAGGAGTTTAGGGTTTAGGGTTTAGGGTGCAGGAGTTTAGGGTTTGGGGTATTATGGTCATGCTCATGACGAGCGATTGTTTGGGCTGATGCGCTGCTGCTGCCGAGTCAGAGTAGTGTGCTACTTTGAGTTCTCACAGAGACAAGTAGGGGCCCTGAACCCTAGACCCTACATCCTAAACCATAAATCCTATACCCTAAACCCTAAATCCTAAACCCAAAACCCTAAGCAGATTTTGTTTGGGCATTCTGGTTCAGCGGTTCCTTCACACCGAAAGCTCTAGAGCCCGGAAGCCTTGAATCCCCGTACCCTGAGACCATTAACCCTACCCAAAAGGGTCCTAAGTACCTACATCTTTGTTGTTTGTTTCTTTATAGGGTTCAGGGTTTATGGCTTTTTAGTCGGAATCACTAGTATGATTTTGGAAAGTAATTATCCCCCATGACCGTCCAGCCTTTTGGATACCAAGGTGGCTTCGCCGTCTCCGTTTGCTGCATCGCCTTCGCACCTAGCGGAGACCTTCTTGCAGCCACTGGCGCAGACGGCCAGGTGGGCCAAGCGTGTGATTAGAACTGGGATTTCGGGCTTAGGGTCTGCGGGAACTTGAAATACCCAAACCCCCGACGTTTTCACTGTAGACAGCAGACCTCGAAACCTGAAGCCCTAAACCTAACTCAATCTGACATGGTAAAACCCGAAGCCTGAGGCCTTAACCTGAAACGTCAACCCTGCGACTGAAGCATTTAAACCCTAAACCCTAAACCCTAAACCCTATAGAGCCCCAAGCAGATCCGAACCTGGGCCCGATGCCTCTGACTGGCACAGACATGTACTCCGCCAGCTTAAGCGAGGAGCTCGACATGAGTAAGCAATGTAGGGGCTGGAATTATTGGTTCTGGCATTCCCTTATGGGGGTTTCCGAAAACAAGGGGTACCTTTTTTTTGGGGGGTCCTTATAATAAGGATCCTATTATTTGGGGTACTATATTAGGGTCCCCTATTTTCAGAAACTCCCTTATCGACTCTATATGATTACCCTAAGCCCTACAAGCCCGAAATCTCGTGTCCCGCCTTCCACGACACCGAGAGGCCCGCCTTTGGAACATCCAGACGGGAGAGGCCTTGAGGGGTTTAGGGGTGTAGGGGTTTGGGTTTAGGGTTTCGGGTTTAGGGTGGGTGTAGAGGTGTGGGTTTAGGGTTTAGGGGGTCCCTGGAAAGTGTTGGAGCTTACCTGCCGTCTCCTTTGTCCTTTTTTTGGGGTCCGTGGAAAGTATTGGAGCTTACCTGTCGCCTCCTTTGTCCATGTTCTTGGTTTTGCCGACTTTATGTTTAAGATCCGATAAGGTAACCCAAAACAGGAATTGCAATAGAGAGTATAGTTGTAGGTAGGGTGTGCAGTTCCGAATTTAGGGATGTAGGGGTTGAAGGTGTGGAGGAATTCACTTGCATTTGGCCTCTGGGGTTGCATGGAGCCATGGGTTGCGAGGCAGAGCAGGTTGTATTCATTCCGGTAGAGACCGTCAGAAACCCAAAGCCCTAAACCCTAATCCCTAAAAGTTCGGGTGCAGGGACTCGGGGTTCGGGGGCTTACAGGGCTTATAGGTCTAGGGGTTCAGGGCAGCGAAGGGTTTAGGCTTGCCGTTTTTCGTATTTCCTGGGTTCAGGGTTTAGGGTTCCAGTTTATGTGTTTTATGCAGTTAAGCCCAGAGTCTTGTTGAACCCAAGTCCTAAGCTCCTAAACCCTATAAAAATTTTAACCCAAGTCCTACCAAGCCCTAATATAGGGGCCTGAATAATTAGAATAGGGTTTTGGGGGTCTAATATACTATAACTATAACAAGGAACCCCCAAAACCCTATTCTAATTATTATAGGCCCAGCAGTGTGGGCTCACAACCCAGTTCAGGCTTTGCTCCGTGTGGGCGGACACCAGGATGTAGCCACTGGGGTAGCCTTCGCGGCCGACGGACAGCCGCTCGGTTGATGAGTGTGTTTATTCTGTTTGGGGCTTTAGGGTTTGGTGTAAAACAGTTCTTTCAATCCTAATGGTAATTTTCTTGTTATGGTAGATGATTCTTTTAGGAATTGGGGTTCACCTATAGTTGTCTATTGCAGTTCCTCTTTTGGGTTACCTTCTAGGACCGTAATCATAACGTTAGTTAAGCCAACAGAAGGAATTACAATGGAGACTATAGGTAGGACCTGGGATGGAAGAGCTTGGGGCTTAGAGTTTGGGGTTTAAGCTTTAGGGTTTAGGGTTAGGGCTTATGGTGTTGAGTTTAGGGGTTAAGGTTCAGGGGGGCTTATGGTGTTGAGTTCAGGACTTCAGGTTCAGGGTTTAGGGTTAGGGCTTAAGGTGTTGAGTGTAAGGCTCTTGGCAGGCACAACCCTGCTTCCTATCTTCCTAAGCAGGAGGCTTAGGTTGTGGAATAGGAATCGGTGCAAAAATCGGGTGAGGTCCGCAGAAGTATTCCTATAGTATAGTGCAATATAATATAATATAATATAATATAATATAATATAATATAATATAATATAATATGATATAGCATAATATAATATAATATAACAGAATAGAATAGAATAGAATAGAATAGAATAGAATAGAATATAATATAATATAATATCATATAATATAATATAATATAATATAATATAATATAATATAATATAATATATGTTGAAAAATACAATACAATATACTGTAGCATAATATAATGTAATAGACTAGAATATTATTGAATACCCGCTTCTATCACCTATAACCGGCCCCCCCAATTTTGATTCCAAGGTGCCCTACGTGCCAGTCGCATCGTTAGTTGGTTGAATAGTTCGGTTACAGAGCGGGTACGCAGAATCACGGCGCCATCAAAGAAGCTAACCCAGAAGGACAGATGTGCAAGACATGCAGGGAAAGACAGTCTAAGTAGTCAGTGGCAGCTGATACAAAGAAGGATGGAGAAATCAATGAGTCGCAGGAGCCGGATCGTAGCAACGTGGACTATCGGTGTGATAAAATTCATGCGTCTTCATATATAGGTCAGCAAAATGAAATCGAAAGCTGTCGTTAGTGGACGATCTGCGATGTTTTGAGTAGAACTTATAGTCACCCCGCGGAAATCCCGGATGGAAGCAATGATCGAGATGTTTGACTACTTTGGCGCATGGAGAACAATTCGGTCTGGTAGGTTTCATCACTCATCCTCTTGTTCCTTGTTCTGTTGGTCCCGTGAATGTACGGAACTGAGGTGCATCGCTACGTGCAGCAGCGACGGCACTGCTGTGCCTTGAAAGCATTTGCTCGTGTTGAAGGGGCTGGTTTCGGATGTGACTGGCATTCATAACTTTGAATGCCAGGAAGGTCCGTCATAATGTTGAGTTCTTGACAATACCACCACCCCCCGCCTCCCCGCTTGGTTGATTCGAGACCCCGATCCTGCACCAGGCGCCTCCTACTTGTCGCAGTTTCGAGACTCGCAGTCGCGGAGTATCCACTTATGGGTAGTTCTCTAAATCAAAGTCCCTTTTTGGATCCCCAATATGGTACGGCACCCTTATGAAAAGGACCCTAAAAGGGACCCTAATTGAGAGAACTACCTATATTTTGGTGCCGCCTTTGCTGAGCTTGTTTCGACAGTGCCTGGGTGGCGCGCAGGTGCTTTGGAACATTGAGAGCGGATGCCGCGAAGCCACCCTTGAAGGCATGCAGTTGCTGGGCTTGCGGTTCTGCCAGGCGATGCTACCTCAATCTTTCGAGAGTCCTAGAAACCAGTCTTAGAACACCATGTCTAGGACATTTCCAGGTGGGTAGTTACGGTAATTGGAGCTTTATAAACGGTCTATATACCTTATGGAAGCCTNNCAACCCTAAACCCGAAGCTCGAAGCTCGGCAATCGCTAAACCCTGCAACCCCCAAACCTTCCAGCTTTCTTATACAGCCAGCTCGTACAGTACAGGGTGTGCCCACATAGCAATACCGTGACTCTAAAGCACTTATAGAGGGCCGGAGCACACACTATATAGGTACATCGGTCCGTAGGGAGAACAGCCCAGTGCTGCGACAGGTCATTCGGAGGCTGTGATGGCCGCCACCTTCGTCTGCAAAAGTGATCTTGCACCGACACCGACGAAATTGTGCAACTACAACCGGCGAGGTTGTAATTGTCGAAATTGCAATGGCAACGGAATTGTTGCTGCTCAGTGAATGAGCTTTGCCTCAGTACAGATATCATCCTTCTGTGCTGCACGGCTTCGTTGTTCTTTTTCGGTGGCTTCGGGGGAGCGTAGTCCGGGACTCACGAGGTCCGGGCTTACCCTAAACCCTAATACCTAAACCCCTGAACCGTTAAGGGTTGCATCGGGTGTCCGGTCTTAGCTTTTTGTTACGCAGAGTTGCGAGCGGACAAAGACGACCTTGCACCGAGAGGGTTTCGGGTGGCGGAGGGCGGGGTGGGGGGAGGTTTCCGGGTTTCAGGGTTTAGGGT